TAGTAGAGACGGGGTTTCACCATGTTGACCAGGATGGTCTTGATCTCTTGACCTCGTGATCCACCCGCCTCGGCCTCCCAAAGTGCTGGGATTACAGGCTTGAGCCACCGCGCCCGGCCGTGAGAAAGCTTTCTTAAATTAGAATGTCAACCAATAAATGTAGAAGGAATGATGGAATTAGAAAAATGAATACTTACCACAATCACAGTAAATAACTGATTCAGGCAAGAATCATCAGATGTTAATTTTTATGAGAAACAGGATATTTACAGTTAAAACATAGTCTTAACATGAAGTAGTATTCATTACAAAGGGGAAAAAAAAGAGTAACTTCCTGCCAGACAAACCTTAACCAACTTATCAGAATGCACATCAGCAGTAATGGGACACATCACGTGTTTACTGTGATACTTCTGCCAAAAATGCATAACCTGAATCTAATCCTGAGGACACAAACAAGCCCCAATTAAGGAATAGTCTACAAAATCACTTGATTGTACTGTTCCAAAGTATCAAGGTCATAAGAAACAAAGAATAGAAGAGCCATTCCAGATTAAATGAAACTAAAAAGAAATGACAACTAAATGCCATGTGTGACCCTGGGTTAGGTCTTGGACAAGAAAACAAATTTCTTCTTTTGCTCTAAAGGACACTGCTGGGATCACTGGTGAAACCTGAGTAAGGTCTGTAGATTATAGTGTTATAGCAATGTTAGCTTCCTGAGTCTGATAATGAAACTCTGGTTATATAAGAGACTCTTTTGTCTTTATAAATACATGTGAAGGTATTTAGGAATGAAGGGACATATGTCTGCAATTCACCCTCAAATGTTGCAAAAAACTCATGCATATAAATGTTAAATTTGGAGACTGAGTGAAGAGCATATGCTGGAAATCTGTACTATTCTTTCAACTTTAAGTCTGAAGTCAGTTCAAAATAAAAAGCTAAAAAAGCAGATTGCGGCCGGACATGGAGGCTCACACCTGTAATCCCAGCACATTAGGAGGCCGAGGCAGGCGGATACTTGAAGTCAGCAGTTCAAGACCAGCCTGACCAAAATGGTGAAACCCTATGTCTACTAAAGATACAAAAATTAGCCAGGCATGGTGGCATGTGCCTGTAGTCACAGCTACTTGGGAGGCTTAGACAGAAGAATTGCATGAACCCAGGAGGCAGAGATCATGCCACTACACTCCAGACTGGGCGACAGAGCGAGACTCAGTTTCAAACAAAAAACAGAAAAAAATTGGCCAGGCATGGTCCCAGCACTTTGAGAGGCCAAGGTGGGCGGATCACAAGGTCAAGAGATCGAGACCATCCTGGCCAACATGGTAAAACTGTGTCTCTACTAAAAATATAAAAATTAGCCAGGTGTGGTGGCGCGTGCCTATAGTCCCAGCTACTGGGGAGGCTAAGGCAGGAGAATTGCTTCAACCCGGGAGGCAGAGGTTGCGGTGAGCCAAGATCATGCTACTGTACTCCAGTCTGGTGACAGAGCAAGACTCCAGCCTGGTGAAAAGACTGAGACTCCATCTCGAATAAATAAAAATAAAAATAGCTGGGTGTGGTGGCTCATGCCTGTAATCCCAGCACTTTGGGAGGCCGAGGCAGGCGGATCACAAGGTCAGAAGTTCGAGACCAGCCTGGCCAATATGGTGTAACCCTGTCTCTACCAAAAACACAAAAATTAGCTGGGCATGGTGGCAGGCGCCTGTAGTCCCAGCTGCTCAGGAGGCTGAGGCAGGAGAATTGCTTGAACCTGGGAGGCAGAGGTTCGCCACTGCACTCCGGCCTGGGTGATAAAGTAAGACTCCATCTCAGAAAGTAATAATAAATAAACAAATAAATAAATAAAAAGTTGCCTGATTGCCAAAGCCTGGTATTCAATCAACAGCTGTCACCCAGCTTACCATAATACAGCAGCTTAAGATTTGACACCATCACACACACAACTTTACTAAAGCTAAAATTACCGAACACTCTCTGAATGCTGAGTGCTACGAAGAACTGTCCATACACAGTCTGCCAATGTGTATAACACAACTTCCTTTTACAAAAGAGGAAATCGGGCCTGGCATGGTGGCTCATACCTGTAATCTTATATAATCTTGACATTTTGGGAGGCCAAGGCAGGAGGATTGTTTGAGTACGGAAGTTCAAAACCAGCCTAGGCAACCTAGGGAGACCCCATCTCTACCCAAAAAA